TTGAATTTGATCCCCCTTCAATGTGTTTAAAGGTTGTTGCCTTATGCCCCTTGTTTAGGCCTTGAAGTATGCTTGCACTTTTAGACCACTTAGATGCCGTCTAAGTACATCCTTAGCTTTGTTTAGGTCTGCATTAGACCTATTTTAAGTCCCTTTGGCCTTGTGAGGCTTGGTTGACCTAGCCTTGGTTTACCTCCCCTTTGGCTTGCCTTAAGTCTTGGACCATTGTTGCATGTTTGGCTTGCCTTATTTACTTGGTTTGGCACCTTTATAACATGTTTTTCAGAGCTTTATGTGCATGCCATTAATCCATGTTTTGTCACATTTTCAGAGCTTACATTGCATGCCATATGCCCATGTTGTTCCTCTTTTAAGTGTGCTTAAAATTTGTCTCTATGTGCCTAAGTGTTGGACCTTACATGCATGCCTATTTGTATGTGTTTTGGCTTCCATTCTTGAGCATGTTAGCCATTGTTTTGGGCCTAGTTGAGAGCTGCCTAATTCAGTTTAAGTCCATCTTTTGCATGCTATTAAAATGCTGTTGCATTAATCCATGTTTGCATGTTTTGGTTGCATGTGTTGCATGCTTAAAATCACTTGCATTGGGTATGCATCCTCTTGGTCAAGTATATTTGTATGACTTGCATGTTTGCATGGTTGAGTTGCACATTGCATACTTGATTAGCTTGCATGGATTGCATGCCCAGTGAGCATTGTGCATTGCATCTCCACGTTACACACTTAGGCTCACATGCTTAGGCTGCATTGTACTAGCATACATGCTTGGCCTCTTGAATTGCTTGTGATAGAGGTTGAGTTCAATTTGTTTGTTTATGTGCATTGCATGACATTTGAAATGAAAATGCACAACTTGGTCTCTTGGGCCATCACGCATTGAAATGCGCGATTGGTGGTCCGAGAACCAAGGGCCGTATCCCTTTGAGCCACAAACATGACAAGGGATGTGTCAGTGCACACATTCGCTTGAATTGCATTGCCATGCAAAGCTTTGCCCTCTGCTGCTGTTAAACAGGTCCTGCAGGAATTTTCAGCCGATCGACTACACAGAGTGCCGACCGGCCATCTATCGGTGGCTGATGGATTCATATTTACCCGGTGACCACTAAATCACAGCCGGTGATGATCCAATTTGGCTGGTGGCATTCCCCAGCATCTAGTGAGAACATCCTGAGACTTTGGCAGTTTTCAGAGGAGTATAGTAGGGAAAACAGTCACAGCCGGTGATGATCCAATTTGGCCAGTGGCATTCCCCAGCATCTAGTGAGAACATCCTGAGACTTTGGCAGTTTTCAGAGGAGTATAGTAGGGAAAACAGAGGCAGCTTGCGCATGGCAGTGGACTTCCGAGCAAGACCGAGCATGCATTGCATTGGGCTCTTTTCCCGAGGCCGTTTATCACTTTCTTAGATTAGTTGATTTGCTTAACTAATTTAGTTGGTCTGTAATAATTAATTAGCGAGGATAGTTGGTTTGTTATTCAGACTATATTATTCTTTCGGACCCTCCGAGCGAGGGCAATTGTGTAATAAGTGTGGGTGCGTGTGTGTATGTCTTCCAATCCCACATCTTTTTTCCCTTTTATTTACCCACTTATGATGGTAGACTAGGGCATATTTAAATTAGCATACCTTATGCCATGCATGTGTGCATTCATACATTTGTCTTGCATGCACCGGGCTCGGCACATCATTCTAACTGCATTTGTATTTCAATTCCAAATTGAATACGTGTTAGTTGTAGCATTTCACATGTCATTGTAGATTAGCCGAGCCTATCTTAGTTGCATTTTGCATGTGTTGCATTAGCCATCTTAACATGAACTTGGATCATGCATGTTTGCTAACATGTTCTTGTTTTGGCACGGAGTACTAGGTAAGCTCTTATGCTTTAGCATCTTGCATGAGTGTGAGTGTTTGCCATGACAGCATGCTTACCATGTGGCTAGATGCTTATGTGTTATAAACTGCCTGAATGCCTGTGAGTGAAGGTTGGATTGTTTGAGTTGGAGCAACTCGTCGAAATCTGTATTTTAGCCTACTTGCGAGTAGCAAATCTCAAAACGTTTTTCGAAACAAACGGATATGCAATACTTTGTTCCAAATTAGACGATCTAGTCTATACTTGTTTGCTGTGCACATAACATAGTAATTCTGGCTAATAAATGGAATAAGAACACATAACGTTTTCAAAAACGGATATCACGGTTAGTAGAGGCCGATCTTCGGATCGGGCGAGAGGGGGTGCTCATAGCTGACCTTCCCCAATCGTACCCTAGCTCCCGAGCCGAGGCAACTTTGGTGATGACGGACACGTGGCCTTTGGCACCGAGTCAGGGTTTCCTAAATTCCCCCTTAAAAAATATTTAGGTGGCGACTCTGTATCTGGCAAAGCAGTCCATGTTTGGCACTTCTTTTCTAAAAATCTGTTTTCTCAAAACGGTTTGCTAGATTTGGACTCTTTGGTTCAGATTAAGAACCGTGACACAAATTAAGTCCGAACTGTAGCACGAAAGCCTCACGCGGGCGTGTCTACACAGACTGATTTGGAAAAAATGGAGGAACGAATTGTGTTCATACTTTGCAAGTTAGAGAAAGTTTTTCCTCCAGCTTTCTTTGATGTGATGGTCTATTTGGCTGTTCACTTGCCCCGTGAGGCCATGTTTGCTGGACCGGTGCAATATCGATAGATGTACCCGATCGAAAGGTAATCATTATGAACATATGGCTATTTATTAATTTGTTATAACTAAACTATTGTACAAAAATCCACCCATAAAAGACTAATGTTTAAGAAGTAATTTTCTTGCATCAAGAAGCATAATTTTCATTGTCAATTTTTGTTGAAGGTTTCTCGGGACTTTGAAAGGGTATGTCAGTAATAGAGCACGTCCAGAAGGTTCTATCGCTGAGGCTTACATTGTCAAAGAGTGTCTTACTTTTTGTTCAATGTACTTAAAAGGGATTGATAAACCTGAACGAAATGATGATGGTGGTGAACGTGGTCCCGGGATGGAGGTCTTTACCCAAAATGCTCGTCTATTCTCACCTATCACAAGGGCTCTTGACCCTTCGCAAAATGAACGAGAAATGGCTCACTGGTTTGTGTTGTACAATAGCTCTGAGGTGGAGCCATATATTGAGTATGTATTTAAGTTTAATTACGTTTATGCATAATCGTTCCATTTTGTTTCGAACTCTCAAAGTTAATTACGTATATCACATTTCCTTGGGTAGGGAGCAGAAGAATATTTTACATAATGTACAAGGACGTGACATAAGTCGGGTACAACGGGAAGAATTTCCAAAATGGTTCAAAAATCGTGTAAGATATACTAAAGAAAATAACTGAATACAATTGTTGAAACTTTCAATTCACATTAACTTAGTACACTTGTCATATGGTGTTTTATGTAGATGAATGATTTGCGAACGAAAGGGTCACCTGAAGCAACTGACGAATTGTGGTCATTAGCAAATGGGCCTGGATCGGTAATTGACTTTTATTCTGGGTGCATCTACAATGGAATTCGATTCCATACTAGAAACCGTGAAAATCGTCGTACCTGCCAAAATAGTGGGTTGGTCGTAGAAGGGGACCATAATGGGAACCAAATTAATTTTTACGGCTACTTGTGCAAAATATGGGAATTGAAATACTTGCATGGGGGTACAGTGGTTTTGTTCCAATGTGAATGGTATGACACCGGTCACAAGAATAGAATATACTCCGATGAACATGTCACAAGTATTGATGTTACAAGACTTTGGTATAAAGATGACCAATTTGTTCTACCTAGTCAAGTAAGACAAGTATTCTATGTCAATGATACCAGCAAAGGCAAAAATTGGAGAGTCGTTGAACGTGTTAAGCATCGGGGAGTATGGGATATACCAGAGCAGAAGTTTGATGGTTTAACTGAGCTTAGAAAGAAATCCTTGGATTCACCAGTGGAAAAAGTAATGGCTCAATTGGATCAATTGCGGGAAGTCAAGTTTGGAAAGGATCCTACCAACAAGAAAAGACCATGAGAGTCTGAAGAACCCCAGCCTGCTATGTGGCTCCACTAGCACATATCTGCCTGATGACCCTCGCCTACTGCCCCACGCCTTCTTCAACTAGATTGAATGTCTTCTATCATATTTGAGACTTTTTGATGTGCTCCTCACCATCTCATCTCATTTCAAGTGAAACACTTTCTTGAATTTCAAAAAAATGATGTTCGGTCCAAATAGCACTACTCTCATGCATTCTCTATACCACCCATACTTTAAGAACAAAAATGAAAAATTTGAATTATAAAAGAAAAAAAAAATAACATTCGGAACAAATCTAGATGACCCATTTAATGTGTTTAAGTGATGAACACGTGTGTCTTTCAAGTGTTTGAAGTGTGTTTGAGTGTGATTTAAAATAAAAGACATGTTTGGATGCAGGTGCAACATGTGTCAGGAAATGTCTGACGGGTGTCAGTGTTCGACACGAACACACCACCTTCTTAGAAGTGTTCGTGTTTATTAGCACAAGCATATTATGTATTTTTGTTCTTGTGAAGAATTAAGAAAGATAAATTAGATACATAATTTACCTTTGAGTTTTTTTTCTCTTCTTTACTTTTTGGGTTACCTACTTTGTGTAGTTCCTTAGTTTATTTCAGTTAAGATATTGTTTTAACAAAGGGGAATAGTACCAGTTGAATCTGTTCCACCTCAAACACAAGCCACCCCTCATCAAAGTTCTATTTCTACCTTTCTCTACACCATGGCTACGCTCCCCGACCCTTCTACAATTTTTGCACTGCTTCACCTAAACACTGATATTGAATCCAAAACTACGGACCTAGCTGTACCATTTATCCATATAATGAGCCTAGAAACATGCTCTTCCCAAACAGATCAAATTATTGAAGAAATGGATGAAACTTCTGTCCAAGAATATGCATTTAATGATAATGGTGCATAAAATATGGGAGATGGCTTTTTATTTTCTGACTACTCATATACCTTAAAATTGTTTTGTTTCAACTAGTGTCAAATCAAAGCTATTCGTGGTTCCACCCCAACTTAAGCATCTACTTGAGTAACTCATTATGGTAAGTACATAAATGACAAATCTTTGCATCTATTGTTAGGAGGCCTATGAGTCTATGACTAAGAGTGTAAATCTTATGATCAAGTTGCATGGCAGGAAGTAAATGCATAGGTTCATTAGTAGAAATTTAGATGCAGTGGTTCACAATCAATACACATAATGGCTGTATTAATCTATTTTGCCATTTTACGGAATTCTCATCTGAGAGAATCGGCACCCATATATACACAAGATTTCAGGACTTTCACATTAGACACTCTGGCCAACTTAATTTTAAATGGAGTCCATCCCCTATCTCCTCTCAAACAATGGAGTACATCCCCTTTCTCATCCCAAACAATTATACATATGCAATGTATTTATAACATGGTCATATTCAATGATACCAAGAATGGATTAGCATTAAATCGCCTAATCCTCATGTAATTTCTACAACAATCATCGCTATCCTCCACCAATAGTCCAATGCAATTATTTCAAAAGAAATGTTCAATATCAAAATAGATAGTTTATTCAAAACTTCCATAGGTGAAATGATACATACCCAATATCACCATTTATAACTACAACCTTCTAATTTCACATTGTCAATGTTAATCCCAATTATTTATACAAAATAGTAATTTAATCAAAATTAGGGCAAAAATCCCCCTTTTACCAATTTTCAACCCAAACACCAAAACAACTATTTTGGCACAACATGGTCTTATATTCAAGCCTCATACTCATTTACCTCGTGTTCATCAAAAACCCCTCTTTTCCATATAACACCCAAATCTTAGATTTGTCCAAACCACAATCAAATCTCATCATTTATACACAATAGCAAATAACTAGACTAAAAATCATATTAGAGTGTAGAAAATCCCTACCTCAAAAAGAGAAGACGTGCAAAGCAAGGTTGAACTCCAAAAATGACGAGACCCACTTTTACTTAGATCAATACGAAGCTCTCGAAGTCCTCTACCTTATTCTCAAAGACACTAGGGTCAAGAGCTCAATGGATTTAGATGAAACCTTAGAGAGAAGGTGACTTCTAGGGAGAAAAGTTACAGATTTAGGGTTTGTGAGTGGAAAAGGAGATAAAAATGAAGCAAAATGGCGCTGCTGTGAACAGATGTACACCAGGCTCGCTCGAGCAAAGGAGTTCTCGCTCGAGCGACCAGACACAAAAAGGTCGCCTCGCTCGAGCACAAGAAGTGTCGCTTGAGCGTAAAATGCGAAGCTTCAGGTCTGCCACCCAACGTAGACGCACGCTTAAGCGCAAGGAGCCTTGCTCGAGCGAAGAAACATTTTCACAGGGCTCGCTCGAGCGTAAGAAGCCTTGCTCGAACGAAAAGGCCAAAATCTGGGCAACAACCATTTGTAGTAAAAGACAACTAACCTGTCCCAAACTCACCCAACAAGTCCCAAAACTCAAATTCAAAGAATTAAAAAGAGGAAACAAGACATAGACAACAATATACAATCACAGAACCCGAGTTCGGAACATAATAAAGGTCAGAGTAAAACCGGGATCGCTATAAGCGGCGTTTGAGATGCATGATCGGAGATGAAGGATTTGAGTGTCTGAGAAAGAGAAGAGAGAGAGAGAGAGTACCGAGATAGAGAGATAGAGAGATGAGAGTGTAAGAGGCAGTAACTGAGTGAGCGGCGTTTGAGATGCATGATGATCGGAGATCGATGAGAAATAGAAGAGAGAGAGAGATGAAAGTGTGAGAGGCACTAAGGCAGTGAGTGAGTTGCTGAGCGGCTAGGGTTAGTGTTGAGCTTTTATATAAAACAAGAAATTATATTATGTGTGAGGGTACATGGTATAAATATAAACTAAATGTATACGGTCTGGATCGGTTCCAATCTGGAACTGTGAGGTTCAATCAGGAACCGATCCGTGACCTATGGATTTTCAAATTCCTAATCCGGAACTGAACTACAGATTCAAAAAACCAATCCAATCCTACCGGATTGGACTGGACCGAATCGGATTACAGATTATACGGATTCCTTGCTTAGCCCTAGTATGATCTAAGAAGGCCCAATTCATAATCGACATGGGTTGTTCGAACGACCACTTGATTAGTTATCACTATAAGGTCCAGCAGATAAGGCCCAGTACTGGGCCCAATCAAAGAGTCTATGGCAATCAAACCCAATGACGAGCTCGCCACATGTTAAGTTGGAGATTGGCCACATGGCCAATAAAAAGATCTTACAAGTCATTGGGCTCACGTGCTAAGTATTAAATGAGACTATCAAGCATTAAATGTAAGAAAACCCCCTTTGGGTGTTGTGAAACCACCATAGTCGATGGCAGGTAGCCGATAAATTTTTAGCCAATTGGACAGTGTGAATGGATGAGAAAATGATTGGTAAGGGATATAGGGAAGCGGCCGGAGGACAATTGGTATCCAATCACTCTTTCACTCTCTCACTCTACTTTCAATTCTCTCTAAGCTTTTTTTTTTTTTGTACAATCAACTAACTTGATCATCGAAGGGTAATCAGAAAGGAACCACCCCCACTTCAAAACCTTCCTGTTAGGCTTGTTGCAGGTATCGCTGAGAAGATGAAGGCTAATCAACCAGTGGACTACTTGGATCCTGTCCAACTCAC